GTCGGGGACATCAAAGAGGAAGTTGAGGCGATGGGATTTAAAGTGCATCGCATCGTTCGGCTTACTCAGCCTGGCTCCAGACACCCAATGCCACTTGTTTATTTACAAGTCATCCCACACCCCTTCCTCGATCATCTGTTTGCCGTCACTGACATGTGGGGCACAGAGATCAGCATTGAGCGTTACCGCGGCCGCAAGGGCCCTACTCAGTGCTTTCGGTGCCAGGGCTTTTTCCATTCTTCGGAACTCTGCACCCTTCCAATCCGTTGTGTCAGATGCTCTGGACCCCATTGGGCACGTGAGTGTACCAAAGGCTTAGATGTACCTGCCACTTGCTGCAACTGCGGTGGAGATCATCCTGCTTCTTATAAATCTTGTCCCCGCTACCCAGGTAACAAACGGGCTCGTGGTAAAAATTCCGCGCCTAAGACTAGGGCAGCTGCTCAGACAGCCCCCCGCAGGGTTCTTCTAAGCCCCCAGCAACTGCTGAGACAAGACGTCCCATGCCTGCTCCCCCAAGCAACGCCAGTTCACCATCTTATGCACAGATGGTGAAGAACACCACCGAGCACGGATTCAAATCCACGAATCCAAGACTGCCGGTTGCAGAAGCCCCTGCAGCCCCAGCAGTGTCAGCCACAGCAGAGTGTAGCAATGATTCCGACGATGTCTTCTCATCTACACTAAAATGCTTAATTGAAATCTCCCGCGACCCAGCGTAGACAAGCATATTCTGCTCCTTGCCTTCAAAAAAGCAATGCCTAAACTCAGGCAAGCAGATGCTTTAATGAGGGCATTTTATATTTATGAAAGCTATGTTGAGCTTTCAACCTAATTTGGCTTTTTTAGACCCATGTCTTCTGTTTTTCAGTGATGAACCTCTAATAACGGCTTAAAATTCAATTTTATGAATAACAGTTCAAACACCACCAGAGAACTGACCATTTGCACGTGGAATGCCAATGGATTAACATCGAAAATTCACGAAGTTCGTGATTTTGTAGTAGAGCACGATATTGACGTGTTTTTAGTCCAAGAGACTCACCTTACCCCAGGGAATACTCCCAAAATTGGGAATTATGACATTTATTGTACTGACAGGGTGTCACAGGGCAGAAATCCCTGTGGTGGCACTTGTATCTATGTGAAGCGTTCGTTAAAGCACCACATGATACCGTCCCCTGATTTAAATTTTTTGGAAGCGACAATCATCAAAATTTTCCTTCAAAATTCCTCCCCGCTGACAATAGTCTCAGCTTATCTACCTCCACTGTCTAGAGCACGTGGAAGGCCAGCTTTTCCTGTCAGTGATTTTGATAAACTTTTGAATATTTCAAATCACCTAATAATTGCTGGTGATCTAAATTCACGCCATACCGCATGGTTTTGTTCTAATAGGAACAGGTATGGTATTAGTCTAAATTCATGGTGCCAGAGTAACCATGTACAGATCATAGCTCCTACCCTCCCGACTTTTTACCCTGTTAGAGGGTCCCCTGCAGTTCTTGATCTGGCTGCCTTTTATAATATATTTTTTCGGCATGAGATAAAAGTGATTCAGGAATTGGACTCTGATCACTACCCCGTTTTGATAACCCTAGATATTCAAAATCGATACTCAAAATTAGAGGAGCAAGTCTCAACAAATTGGGACGACTTTAGATTTATTTTGGAAAAAAACTTCACTCCCTCCCATCAAAATTTCCAGCAATTCGGACTTTGACAGGCATATCAAAAGTCTGGAGTCTTTACTGAAAGAAGCGAGAGCTGCGGCTTCAAAACCACGCAAACACCCAGGTGCTAGGCTCCCACCTGAGACTAAATTCAAAATTAAGCAGCGAGCGAATTACTTGCGAAGAATTTGGCAAAGGTCACGAGATCCCAATATCCGTGCCCAATTTCGCAAGATACAGAACGAGATAAGGACCGAAACCCGCTTATTAAAACAAGCGGAGTGGAAAACATACATTGAGTCCCTAACGACTGAAGACAAATCGATTTGGCGCGCAGCCGCCCGATTACGCAAACATAAAACATACATTCCGCCCCTTCAAACGGCCGATGGCGCACAGATGGCCTACACTGACTCAGAAAAGGCGAATGTCATAGCTGACAGCCTTGCAACTCAATTCACAACAAACCACGACTCCTACTGTAACCGCCCGGTTACACAGGGGCGCATACAAGCACGGGTTAAAGATTTTTTAACACAACCTATCACAACTGAACTCAGGCCAACGGACCCTACTGAAGTCATGGTTTTCATAGATAAATTGAAACCTGACAAGGCACCTGGCATAGATTCTATTTCGAATCGCATGATCAAAAACTTCCCCCCTATGTTTATCGTATGGATCACGGTACTCATAAATTTAATGCTCAGGAGAAGCTATTTCCCCGACTGCTGGAAAATTGCAGCAGTCGTCCCCATTCCAAAACCGGGACAAAATTTAAACCTTCCCGTCAATTACAGACCCATAAGTCTGTTATCTTCTCTCTCTAAGATCTATGAATTTGTCTTACTTAATCGCCTGAATGAATTCTGTCGGGATCAAAATTTACTAATCCCGGAACAATTCGGCTTCCGACCTAAACACTCCACGGTACACCAGTTACTCCGTGTAGTGGAATTCATTCATGAAGGCTTTCGTAAGCGAGAGAAAACTGGAATTGTCTATCTGGACGTTGCCAAAGCCTTTGACAGGACTTGGCATGACGGGATTATTTACAAGTTCATGCGGCTTGGTTTTTCGGCCCATCTCATTAAAATTATTAACTCGTACTTGACCGGACGCAGTTTCCGCGTGCGAGTTAACCACGAATTCTCCTCTCCCCGCCCAATCTATGCTGGGGTGGCTCAAGGTAGCCTCCTTGCCCCTGCAATCTTTAACCTTTATGTAAATGATATTCCTAAGGCCCCAAATATCGATCTTGCGTTATACGCAGACGATACAGCCATCATTTCACAACACTCCAACACCCTCCAGGTAATCTCACAATTGCAGAGTTACCTTTCGACCTTAGAACTCTGGCTCGGTCTGTATAAAATCAAAATTAATGTCGCAAAATGTGCTGCCACTATGTTCATCCGAAGAAACATCCCAAGTTTACCTAATTTAATGCTCTTCGGTGAACCCATTCCCTGGGTCTCTTCTTACAAATATCTAGGTGTTTTACTAGACTCAAAATTAACTTGGCAGCCTCACATCCGCAAAATCATAGCGGGTGCGACAGCTGTCAAAACCGCCCTACGCCCCCTTTTAGCTAGTCATAGCGACCTGTCAACTGATAACAAAATCTTGCTCTACAAATCAATGATTAGGCCGGTTCTTACGTATGCGTGTCCCGTATGGGGCCCATGTGCACTGACTAACAGAAAACATGTCCAAATTTTTCAATCTAAAATGCTTCGGCAAATTCTAAAAGCTCCGTGGTTTGTACGGAACGAAGAGATTCATAACGACCTCAAAATTATGCCCATTAATCGCTATATACAGCGACTTTCGGAAAAATTTTTCAAAAATATTCAACGTGTTGCAAATCCTGTGCTTCATATGCTACCCGTATACGATCCTGCTGTTGCTTCTTCCCGGAAAAGACCCAGAGCGGTTCTTAACAGGGAATATTCAGCTCTGCCATTTAAACGGGCTAGATATGAGCACACTGATAGCCACGTGAATAACTACCTCTCGTTCCTTAACCCCCCCCCGCCTCTAAAGTTCTTTAATGCACACGGCATTAACTCGAGGAACCTCCTTTAACGTTTCTTTAATAAGAAACATCACAGTCAAATAGGACTGATTTAAAATACTTTAACCTATCAAATGAAATAAAACTGAAAAAGATTTTTAAACTATAGCTTCTCTCTTCCTTTAAAAAGGAACTTTCTTAGGCGCTTAACAGCGTCCTTTTTGGCCTTTAAAAACCGCATTGAATAGCGGTCAAAAATGAAACTTCTCCCTCCCAGCTGATCACTGGCAGAACTACTTTTTCGACCTGTAAACAGGTTCCCCCCTCCCTCCCACCTCGAAGAACGCGCATCGGAATTCCCCTGCGTATTCTTCATCTGACGTATGCAAAGAAAATGATTATCAAGGTTCAAGGAAACTTCACCTTTTATTTTTCTAGTCAAAATTTTTCTGGCTGCCCCTATCTAAATTATTCTGGCCCTTTTTCGGCGCAAAATTAAGACCTTCTGAGTTTTTTGCCTTTTTTTGACTCAGTGTGAAGGCACTTACTCCAAGTCATTCGGCTTATCAAAATTTTTACCCTATTTGACAATCCCCTCTTTCGGATGATTTAATTTCCTTTGAAGATGTGGAGGTAAAGGCGTAATTGCCTATGAACTCCGTAAATTGTACTTCCTTGATCCTTTCTACTTTGAATCTTTCTTTGTCAACTTTATTTAAAACAGCGTCTATTCTGCTTTCCATAGCTTCAAATTTGTTTTCTATTATGCAGGCAATTTTTTTTTTTTTTTATTTCCTCTTGACATGCTTCAATCTTTTCTTGAGGGGCTTTCAACTCAGCTTTAGCGGATTCTTGACCCGCTTTCATCACTATTTTAACGGAGCTGATGGCCCCTTCCATCTTTTTTTTGGAATGCAGCAAATGCAGTCAGCAACTGTCTTAGTTGCTTATCCATCGCTCTTGTCAGACATTCAATTCCGCTCCTGACACCAAAAAGTGTTGCGTGCGTACGGGTTCGTAATATAGTCAACGCACAAGTCCGATAATAGGTTAATAAAATTTATTCTTATCAAACGAAATATATCAGAATGCTGGAATTTTTCTCAGAGATATTCGTAAAAGATTTCACAATATCACGCAGTATAATCAGTAGTTATACTTGAGATTAGTAAAAATGTTAAAATACAACGCGATGCAAGCTAATTAAAATATCTCAGTTCAAACGGAACTAATCAACTCGCAACAACAATAACTACCGTTGATAGGCTGCGATTGTTGTGCAAGTAATGCACGACGTGTTCCCGTTGTCTTCAAGTGTGTTCCGCTGTGGGTGTGGAGATAAACTGATACCTGAGTCCAAGACGAACTGTCGAAAGTTTAGAAGGGAAAATGACCATGATCACGTGAGCAGGCGGTGACATCGGATTGGCTGAGTCCTTATTTATTAAAAGTAGATGTAAGACAAGATGTCATGAATAATTAAATAAAATAACTAATCTTGTGTGGAGGTAATAAGCCTTATATGATAAAAAGAAGTTAAACATATATTTTTATATATAAAAAAATAATGTTAATAAAGTGAAATTAATATAATTGAATAAAATGCTAATACATACATCTAATACTCTGTCCATAATCTCTGCTGTCTGAATAACAAAATTTATTTGCTGCCTTAATCTTGGTGTTGTGTAAAATGCAAAATCGGCCAAAGAAGTAGGAGTTTCACGAACATAAATGGGTATTTTGCTCCAGGTTTGGATAAATTCTTGAACATTTTTAACATTTTCTTTTGCTTGTTTCACGCTATCAAAAATAGTTTTTGTAACTGCATATAGCTTTTTGGCATAATCTTGAGAATCTGAAAAAAATAAAATAAAATAAAAATAAAATAAAAAATTAAAAAAAAAAAGGAACTTATTAAATCCCTATCTTTATCTGTTCAGAAATTAAGAATCAATTATATTTTATTAAGAAATACTTTGTGTGTGAACCCGATGTTGAAAATGATTTAATAAGAACTAAAAATAAATTTAACAGACATGTAATAAATGCAAATTCCTTTCCGATCTGATAAAAATAAATTAGAATCAGCAAGTCAAAAATCAAGTCCATGTTCATTTTGGGGGGCAGGTACAGTGAAAGGATTGCTTACAGACAGTTAACCACATTTTCACTGTAGGATAATTAACAGACTGTACAAAAGAGTTCAGTGCATTGCTAGATCATGGATGCTGCGCTATGATAATGTTGTAGGCCACAATATTCTTTCAGTCACCGAATTTTTTATTCAAAAGGGCATGCTTGTGATACAAAAAGGTATTCACAATGACCCCTACTTACCTGATCTTGGTTTATCCGATTTCTTTCTTTCCTCGAAATTCATGAAGAAATATCTTCATTATGGAAGTATCCACAACGTGCACTGAGCTCTGATACACTATTTGAGTACATTGAAATAGGATGACTTGAGCAATTCTACTGGCATACACATCCGTGACAGTATATAGCAATCTAGCACATTTATTATTAAAAAAAGTGGATCTGTAATCATATGTTGCTATAACATGTGTTCCAGGCATAGTCTCGTTTTCTAAAAGACGTTGCAAAGTACTATCATATATTATTAAGTAATGTCAAATATAAACCAATCAAGATAAAAATAGGCATAGTAATTATTAACGTAAATTGTGACATAACCTCTGTTTAAATGTTTGCATTGCTTATGAATGTACCCTCTTAATGAATGTATTTTCATAATGAAAATAATATGTTAATTGAATTCGTATTTATGCTAAAAAAGTCACTATTCATAAAATTAAATTGAATCGAAAATAATACGCTGCTGGCCACTAAAATTGTTACCCCAAGAAAGTGGGATGCAACAAACATCAAATTTGCATGAAATGTACTACATATTAGTATATGTAATTGATTAGAATTTCAGTGCATGTGGACAAAGCAGAAATGAGTAACGCCACTTATATTGTATATAAATGGGAAAACTAGACAGCAGGTTCCTCATTTGGAAACTTCATTTGAATGTGAATTATTTGTGTAAAGATCATGTTATGTCTTATGTAAAAAAGAAGAAACTCCTACTAGCGTGTGTCGGAACTCGACCATGGCAGGAATTGTGGTCCATCAGAACTGGTTTATTAATCCACGATATTGCTTTCAAGGGAGTACGAAACTGACGAATCCAGAAGCGCCTAAGCACTAGCAGGATCTCAGTAGCCCCGAGCTACTAACGCGCAAGAGGATAGACATGTTGTCCTTTCGGCCTTGTGGGATACTGCCACATCATACACCCTTAGTCAGGAAATTGGCTTACATGCAGGATAAGTGTCTACATGGAAAATTACACAATATTTTCAGCACTGCATGCTGAGCACGACGACCATTGTTGTAGCAGAGACAGGCGCAACTACAGTGCCGTATGACGACACTAGGCACAGAAGTAGCACCACATTGTCTTTTCAAATTATTCCGATTCTGCATGATGATGGACATATGAAACATCATGATGGATGTATCTTTGTATGGGAGTACCAAGAACAGACCTTTTCCAGCTTGCATTTGTCATAGTAATGCAGGCCCAACACCTGACATACAACTGGTATGGAGTGTTATTGGATACACATTGCTGTAACTTCTTATTCGCCCAGTCAGTAATGTGGACAGCCGCTGTTACATTTCTGACATGTTAAGGTCCGTGGCTGTGCCCTATCTTTGAGGCCTACATAAAGCCATCCTTCAAAGGCAATACACGAGGACGTTCAAGATAATTGTATGACCACACGCTGCCTGTGCTGTTCCTACCTTCTTTGACACAGAAGGTGTTCGATTGTTGGCGTACCAGCATATTCTCTAGATCTCTATCCCACTGGAAACATCTGTTCATAGGCTGCTGAGGCACTGGCATGCCGTCATTCAACAGACACACACTAGGAATAATGAACGCTGACATAAAGCCACATAGAATGAAGTACTTGTGTCTGTCATCCAAGCACAGTTCAACTTGATGTCCGATTGGATTACAATCATTGTTGCTGCCAGAAGTGGCAGTTTTATTTACTGAATTATGTATACTGTTTACCCCAAACCAACTGCAAATTTAATCATGTCTCACTCCCTTATACTGTATATGTGCAATAAATGAGATTCTGCTGTTTGCTTTACTTGATGGTGTAGCAATTTTAATAGCCAGCAGTGTAACTAATCGAGTACGTGCTGTTTACCCCAAAACAACTGCAAATTTAATCATGTCTCCCTCCCATTATACTGTATATGAGCAATAAATAAGATTCTGCTGTTTGCTTTACTTGATGGTGTAGCAATTTTAATAGCCAGCAGTGTAACTAATCGAGTAAATGTTAATTCTTATAAATAAATAAACCCTAGCGTCCCTCAGAAAATCTTCAGTGAAGGATCTATCCCATCAACAGATAATCCTAGTGTACTTCAACATGCTCAAAAAATCCAATCTGTCTAATTCCTGAAGCAAAAATTCCTAATAGGATTAAAAAGATGGTTAGCATGAATTTCACAATTGACATGACTTGTCACACATAATTTTGTTTGGAGCGACTATGTCTAATGGAGACTCTGGGCTAGCGTCTCTAAGAAAATCATCTTTAGTGAAGGATCCAGCCCATCAACAGATAATCCTAGTGTACTTTGCCATGTATAAAAATCCAATTATTCTAATTCTAAATAAAAATTCCTAATAGATTTAAAAAGGTAACATAAATTTTATATTTGACCTGAGTTGTCTCAAATGTTTTGCCTGGAGTCACTATGTCACATGGAGATTGTATCGAGGATGTGATTTCATCTCAGCCAAGTAGCTATAAATTTTTTCGTTACCTGCAATAATTCTGTCCATGAAAATTTCCTCCTTGCTTGCATAATATTAAAGTTCCTGACTAATTGCAGTTAGTCTGTTGTTTTGATCCTGAGTCAACACACATGAATTCGCATATGATATCCTGAGTCAACACACATGAATTAAACATAGTTCAAATTTTTCAGCTGGAATGTGATGACACAATCCAATTAACTGATGCATTGTAATTACCACTAGCTTTTAGGTACAATCAGTCAATGAACTGAAACTATAGTTTTGTGGTGACAATCATTCTATAGTTAAGCTTTGCATATTGCATTCCCCCAAGACTCCTTGTATTTGAATGATTCACCATTGCATGATGCAGAGTTTGCATGGAGATAAATGCCAGCTTAAAAGTATATAAGTTAAGCTATTTCTTCAAAACGGCAGACCACCTCCGTCCTCCCGGACAAACAAAAAATGTATTTCGCCCTGCAATTAGTTGCAAAATGCTGGTGATCATTCGTAATGATGGCTACAGGTGAAGGCAGAATGATGAACTATCTCTTCGTTTTAGATTAAAAAAGAAAGAAAAAGGACAACGTTTTCAGGTTGATATCAGTGCATCAATACGCTATTCCCTCCCCCCCCAAAAAATTTCTTCAAAGCCCTGTCAGACAAGAGTAAATTAACACTTTTGATTGCTAATGTCCGATATTCGAACCACGGACCGAACTACCAGTGTTCAGCGACTTTACCGCTCGGCCGCTGGCGGTCTTCCAGAAAAGCTTCAGACTTTGAAAAAAGGAAATTAAATTGCTGTTGAAATTGGAAATAATTCAGCCTTCAAAGAGTCAGTGATCAAGTCTTGCTCATTAGGCGCTGAAGAAAGACAGTGGCGTATTTGGGGAGCTAGTATCGTTGTTTAAATTCAGTGAAACTGCCGGACCGTTTGCCGACTTAGAGATTTGGCCAAAATTGTGGACTTTTTTGGAAATTTTTATGTTTTTTAACTTTGTATAGAAAACGTTGCGTTTCACAAAATGCAAACTTGTATGTATCATTTTAAAGAGAGTTTATTACTGAATTCAATACAAAACACAAAATTCAATTATTTGCAATACAAAAAAATTAAACGATAATTGTTATCGATATATATTAGATAGTAATGATTGCAGTGAGTTATCAGTACTTAGTAGGGTACCTTTTATTTTTGATTACAGCTTCACATCGACGTTTCATTGAGCTGACAAGTTTTAAGCTCTTCTTCCGTTATTACATGATGCCAGGAAACAATTATAGCCTCAATTAGTTCCCTTTTATTTGATGGGCGCCTCATTCGGACAAGAGTTTTCAAAGTGCCACAAATTTTCGATAGGATTGAGGTCAGGACTGTTTTCTGGCCATGACAACAATTTAATGCTCTTTGTACGAAACCACACTTTCGATATTTTGGCCGTGTGGCAAGGAGCAGAATCCTGCTGAAAAATAAACGAAGAATTGTTGGGAAAGAGATCTCTGATGGAAGGTAGAAAGTTTGGTTCTAGAATAGTGTCAATGTATTTTCTGGCATTCAGTTTCCCATCGATGACATGAAGGCGACCAATACCATCTGCTGACATGCATGACCAAATCATAATACTAACTGGGTTCTTCACAGTTGCTTGAATGCAGTCAGGATGTAGCTCTTCTCCTATTCTACGTCTTACATATTTTCGCCCATCACTACCGAATAACGATATCTTAGTTTCATCACTCCATATAACTTGTGACCACTGATCATCTGTCTAGTTAATTTGTTCCTTTGCCCACTGTAGTCTTTTTTTTTTTTTTTTTTCCGTTGCTGAAAATTAAGATAAGGCTTTTTTCGTGGAATTCTACCTCTCAGTCCGACATCTGTTGATCTTCTCCTGATTGTTCTTGAACTGACAGAAACACCAGCATCATTCAGATCACTTCTGATAGCTGCTGATGACATTTTTCTATCTTGGAGACATAGTCTGTTTATTCTTCTGTCATCAATAGATGTGGTGCACCTTTTTCGTCCTTTTCCTTCTCTGTTTTTTATTGAATTTGTCTCCTGATATCGTAAACAAAACTTTCGGATTCCAGATGTAGTCACTGAACCACCCACCTGTCTTGCGATTTCAGCATAGGTAAGACCACTTTCTCGTAACACAATAATATTACATCTCTTTCTAGGTGTCCAATCTACTCTTTTATTTGATGTCATTGCTTCTTGATTAAATATTAAAAATTTTTTACAAAAATTCCTACTTGTAATTGCAGTGTATAAGAAACAGGTCCTCCTTCTACAGAACAAAGCAAAATAATGAATTGTTTCAAGTGGAAACATGACGTCAGCTTCTACTGGCAGTTACTAACATTTGATTGGTTCTCAGAACAAGAACAGTGATTGGCCAGGAAATTTAGACATTACAAACCACTTCATAACTGTGTTTTTTATTTATATTAAAGTACATATAACTTTTCTGTATTGCAAATAATTGAATTTTGTGTTTTGTATAAAGTAATAAATTCCCTTTAAAATGATATATACAAGTTTGCATTTTGCGAAACGTAACATTTTCTATAAGCATACAAAGTTCAAAAACATAAAAATTTCCAAAAGTGTCCACCACTGTATTCCTAATTTGCATAGGAAAACATTTTTTTTCAAAAATTGACTTCGTAAAAGTCTAACACCGGGTCTCAATTCATCCACCTGGTATCCCTAAATCAGTAATTATATTTCTTATCAGATTACTTAAATACAAAGCTATGTGCTTTTGACCTCGTAATGCAGAACAAATTTTTCAAAAATTTGTAGATAGCACCTTAAGGGACATCGACTATTGCTTAGACAACATCCTTGTCACTTCTATTGATGAGACAACTCACAAAGCTGACCTGGAAAAGATATTTAAAAAGTTGCATGAATACTGAGTAATTGTCAATTTAGACAAATGCGTGCTTGGGGGGAAAAGAATTAGTCTCTTTGGATTTTCTGTTATCCCCATACCTGACAAAGTGAATGTTCTAAAAGTTTATTCTTGATTGTCAACTACAAATAGTTACGACGTTTTTTAGAAATTTTAAATTTTTATCGCCGGTTTATCCACAAAGCTGCTTGATCACAGGCTCTATTGTACGCTAAGAAGCTTTTAAAGAAAATCAAAAACTATAAGTTACCATTGGTTTGGTCTATAGCCACAAAATCTTCCTTTGCAGCTTGTGAAAATTCGATAGCTCACCCTACATAGCTACTATACTACAATTTTAAATCTGGGTTGTCTTCTTCTACAGGGCCTCAAAAATTGCAGTCAGTGTAGTGTTACAGCAGCACGTTGATAATCGCAATGAACCTTTGCCATTTCCGTCTCGAAAATTAATGCTGACTGAGGTGAAATGCAATAAATTTGATACAGAGTTCCTTGCAGTTTATTCCTCAGCTTCGTATTTTATATATATGCTGGAAAGTCATGAATTCGTAATTTATACGAATCATAAACCTTTAGCGTTTGCTATGCAGAAGTCTGGTGACAAGTGTTTTCCAAGGCCAGGTTGAATTTATAAGTCAGTTTGAACCTGACAAATTGTATGTCGATGGTAAGTAGAACATACTTGCTGATGCACTTTTTCTCGCATATAAGAAATAACTGTCCCTTCACCAATAAGAATTCTTAAAATGGCTCATGAGCATTTAGTCAACAAATTGTTGGTGTATTTAATTATGGCAAAGCACACGAGGGCTATCTGCCTAAGGAGAGGGATGCCTTCGTGGAGTACTTTCTAAGGGAAACTGGCTCGTATACACAAGTTAGTCAACAAAGAATTGCAGTCTTTACTAAATTCTGAGATTGCTTTGAAATTACAAAATTTCAGTGAGATTCTCTATCTCCTCTATGCTGCGATGTTTCAAATCATTCATCGGACCGCATGTCCCGTAATATTTCGCAAGAAAATTTTTGACGAATTACGTGGACTGTCCATTCCAGTTTTAAATCAAAACTTAAACTAGTTAAAAAGGTGTTGTCTGGAACTCTATGGCAGTGATGTAAATTTTGTTTACAGTGTCAAAAATCTAGTAGAAAAGTGCCGAAAATTTAAAGTTCAAAGGCACACCAAATCTTCATTCAGAAATTTTTTACTACCTTCCGACCACTTTTGTCATGTGCACATTAATGTTGTTGGACTTCTATTCCCATCTAAAGAATTTGTGTATATATTGACATGCACTAATCGATTTACTAGACGGCCTTTCCCATTAAAGGATCAGCCTGCAGAGGCTACTACAAATGTGTATCTTGCCGGCTAGGTGTCACGCTTCAGGTTTCCTGAAATGATCACAAGAGATCGAAAGGTTCAACAATCAACTTTTTGTTGAATTAACCTAATTTTTAGATTCCTTTGCAAACTGAATCTCTGCTTACAATCCTAAGTGTGTTTGTATGGTAGAGCGTCTGCACCACTAGCTTAAGGCCAACCTGATGAGTAAGAACTCTACTCTATGCACAGATTCTCTTCCACTAATGTTCCCTGGTCTGAATTCCATTCTCAAGTGTTTTTTAAATGCCTCACCTGCAGACATTGTTTAAGGAGTTCCTCTGAAACTACCTAGATTATTCTTTAGAAATTCTTCCCAGATTGCTGTTTCACAATTAGAATTTCTCCAATCTCTGCTGCTTAAAATAAAAGATCTGAGACCATTTCCAGCGTCGAGACATACATCCCATGGTGTCTTCATCCACTTGGAACTTTCAACTTTTACACATGTCTTCATTAGACAAGATTCTATTAGGCGTCCTCTACAACAGCCATATTCTCGATCACATGCCGTTACTTCTTGTTCAGAAAGGCACTGTATATTGAACATTAGAGGTACGGACACATCTGTGTGTATTGATCGTCTTAAGCCAATGTTTACGCTGCCCCAGGAGGATTGGCAAGCACCTGCGACTACGACACTAACCACTAAGACTATCAAAACTAGATCAGGCCATTTTATTCGACTAGTTCTCTGGTTCCAGAACTGATATCTTTGAGACTCTCGGCAGCTATCATTTATGTAGTTAAGTTTCACATTGCATTTCCTCAAGCATCAAAGGGCTCCTTATTATTTGAACGATTAACCGTCGTCTGCCTTATACAAGTATATAAGCTAACCTATTTATTTGAACTGGCAGATAAAACAAAGAGGCCGAGAGGAGTGAGTGGGCAACGGAAGAATTGACGCGCCCCACTGTCGACTACTTCAGCAAATGCTTGAAGGAAGCAAGGTCAGATGCTCCAGTAAAGAATACTGGACTTGGTTCAAATCTAATCTTTACAGAATTATGACGTAACCATTTTTCAACGTTATGTTTCTTTTAATTTATGACAAGCTATCATTGTCAATTTTATTTCAATTATGTTGGTTTACTAATTTCTGTTACTTAAATGAGGATAATAAAAATGGTTTAGCTGTTATTTTAGCCTAAACACCGATCATAATGGAACTTGTTTCATTTCTTCATAACTCTGTGTAAATATTTTACCAAGTTTGAGGTAAAATACAAAGTTAATAAAATGCTCGTGAAACTCGTGCATTTTGGAAACCTCAAGGAAAAAAGGTTTCGAGAAAAAAAAATATAATTAATATTGATAATTACCATTATTTGTCCACTTTTCTGAATAACCTTTCTCCAGCAAACTTTTTATTTCTTGCCACTGTTCAGAAATCAAATTTTTTTCATAGTCAGACAAATTTAGAGTTAAATCATTGAACCATCGTACACTGCAGGCAAGCAAGGATCTTGTCAAAAGCAAGTTTTCAGACTTCTCATCAAATATTAAAGCTTCATTTGGTAACAAATTATTTTTTCCCGTTTGTTTGATATATCTAATCTCTTGAACAATATCAGCTATCTATAAACAGAAGTAATTATAAATTATTTGAAGCCACATTTATAATAACGGAAACACAGATGATTACAAAAATAAGATTTCACTTGAGCACGACATAAAAAAAAACAGATTGTAAGGAATTCATAAAATAATATGATTATTATTACTATGCTAACTGTATTACCTTACTTATATTATTAGAAAACATCGACATGATTTGGAACCATCGCTAATCAGTTCAGAGATGCTTCCCTAAAAAAGTGTTAATTGAAATAGAAAATCCTAATAAAGCATTTTGATAATAGAATGACTAGAAAGAGAATAGAAAATATTTTAAATCATTGGATCATATGAAATAAACAAAGTATGATTTATTTCGATTACTGAAATTTATTCTTCACATTTTTAGTCTAATTTAACTTTCAGTTTGATTTATTTTACTGTAATTTTTATATATAGTTCATTACAACTGCCATCAGAATATTTACGTATCTGGATTAATTTCTTTTCCTTCTTAGAAATGTGCAGACCGATTTTACTCTTGAGATAATGTCATAGCTAATATATTGCTTTAACAAGGGCACAACATATTTTTCTAATTTTTACAAAACCAAAAACTAAACAAAGGAGTATATGATGTAAAGAGTTCTGATTTTGACCCCACTAAGGAAGGTCATATAGAAATATATAATAATTAAAAATTTAGTTGCTAATATTCTACAGATAAGCCGTTAAAAATTGTAAAAAATAATGAAATTTGGTAATACAGATTTGACAAATGATGATGATGACTGACGATTTGATGATTTTTCAAATTTTTAAAATACAGGTTTGAAAATTTACAAAGTAGCCAAGCTCAATTTACATAACAAAAATATTAAACTATAAATGGAAAGACAAAAGGCGAAAAACACATATTTTAGCAACACAAAGTCAACTTTTTATTTCAACACACGTTGACTTAAAAAGAAAAATGATGAAAACTGGTGGAAATTTAATCTTTGAAAAAGTAATACAAGAAATTCTTAGAGTCATGTATTTTATAATAGAAAAATGTCTCATATTATAGTCAAAGTCATACAAATACTATATGCGTTATGTGATTTTTTACTTTTACCACAGCTATGCTTTAATTTTATTACGGAAACCACATGTAGCACAGATAAGGCATAGAGGGTGAAAAGGGGGAATAGATGCCGTAATCTTTTTACATTATCTATAGTTAGCAAACTGAATCAATTCAAGAACTTCAAAAATGCAGATCCAACAGTGGCAAAAACGCTGAATACAGATCTTCGGTTGGTTCAGATACAGATAAACGAACTGGCAGTATAAGAGTTTTCGTGATTTTCTCCATGAGTAACATGAATACAAGCCAGTTTCTCTTCAGTTACTGTGAAAGACCGAAATTGGAGAATGTCGTCATTCACTGGTGAATATCAACACATACCAAATACGTCGGTGAAAGACGTTTTTCGTTATATTCTCGTACATTCGGACCATCACCGGTGTATGTCGACAATCCCAGATATACTGTGGTGGAGGTCGAAAAGAAAAGTCGAGGTCAACAGAGGGGCGACAGTCTGTCGCCAAATCCTTTGTTCTGCTGCGATTGAAGTTATGTGCCATGTCTAGAACAGCTGTCGTCAACCCTTAGAACTTCACGGACCACTACATATGTAATTTTATATTTGGTGGACCACTAATATGAATTAAAAAAAAGGTAATTACATTTATACAATAATAATCAGCAAATTACACATATTTCGTTCACATTGAAAAATTACAAAAATGCAGATCTTCCCTTCTTACCTAAGTACAAAAATCTTACCTTCTTGTACAGAAAGCTTCACATTTCCATATCACTGAAAAAGAACTTCACGAAAAGCAAGAACAAACCGGCAAACGCAAAGCAATATCAATAAGCTGAAAGTGTTATGCCGCCAGATTTTAATTATTGTAAACATAATAATCATCGCTTACTCCGCCATGGCGCCATCGATCAACAGTTAGACAAAACAAAAACGGAAACTTCCAGTGATGCAATTATAAACAAGAATGAAAATGGTTCTCATAAAAATCCATCAAGATGCCTATTAAACACGAAGAAAAACTGTATTAACGACCACAATAGCATACGCTTGTAATTCAAAAGGAAAGAGAATTCCAGTTCACGCTGTTATTAATAATAGCAACATATCCACGGATGCCAGCTCTCACTTTCAAATGTCGCTAGGTACACCTTCAAAAGTAGCTAAATTTAAAAGGAATCTCACTATTTTTTTTTAAAGTATAATACATATTCCATAATAGGTTTTTGTTACTCGTCATTTTTTAAACTGAATCTTCATAAAAATATAAACAATGTCCCAATTTTTCTGCGTACTCTAAAATACTTTCTGAAGTAATTTCTGCAAAAACTAAGTGCTGCACACTTTTGAATTACAGACGATTAAAACGTTTTGACGTTTTAAAAATTAATGTTTAAAAAAATTAATTGTACCCTTAAAACCAGGAGGAACGAATATCCAGTATTATGTTACTAATGATGAATTGTTCAGCATACTACTATTTGAAACTCCCACTAGAATAGGCCACGGAGGAAGAACACGTATGCTTAAAGATTTGGAAGGTAAATACAAAAATATTAAAGATTTGGAAGGTAAATATATAATATAGTATATGAAGTTGTAATGTTGTATTTAAATTTATGTAAACAATGTCAAATGAAGCATAGTGCATCTAAGAAAGGTATTGTTGTGAAACAAATGGTCAGTTCTGAGTTAAACTCAAGAATGTCAAGTTGATCTGATAGACCTGCAGTCACACAGGAATGGCGACTGGAGTTTAGGGGACCCAATTGCCAAATCCTGAGTGTGGAGAATCATCATCCACAACCCTTTTAGTTCGGGCACCACTGTAGAGACACTAGGTAATTTTTGGAAACAGAAGAAATGAAAAATGAGCAAAGCCTTTGCCGGGAATTGAACCACGGACCTCAGGATACGCGCCCAGCGTGCAGACCAGCAGCACCACGAAGGCACGCTAAGAAGGTGGGAGAAATACCTTATAATTTAACTAAGTTTGTCCAGCTACGACCATTGAAAACTAAGACAGCTGCAGAGTAGCGCATCATCTTCTTTAAATTGTTTTAACATTTGGTGCTCCAGCTATATTGCATTCAGATAACGGTAGGGAATTCAGTAATCAAGTCATATCCGAACTATGCGCTGTGTGGAAAGATGTTAATATAGTTTATGGAAAGCCTCGTCATAGTCAAACACAAGGCTCAGTTGAAAGGATTAATTGGGAAATACAGAATATGCTAACTGCACGGATGAACGATAACGATATAAATAAACGGTCAGATGGCTTGCCCTTTGTTCAATGTGCCAAGAACACTACATATCATGAAGAATATGCCAGTCCTTTGGAATCCATGTTTGGCATTAAACCAAGAAGAGGCATAACATCGTCTTTTTTGCCTGGCGAACAAATCGCAAATATTGAAACCGAAGAACAACTCGCAGTGGATGAGCTCAAGTATTAGCAAGTTCTCCGAGTTGAACAATTTTAAATTTTGAGCAGCAGCCATACAGAAAACCATATTCCAACAAAATATTGAAGAGGACCTGCAACCTACCACATCTTCATATCAAGCCCTGATTGAACAACACGAGTTAATCGTTAATTTCTATAAAAAGATCAGCTGCGCATAGGAACACAAGTCCCTGATGTCGACCGTGGTCGTACAAATGGTCGAAATGTGTTGGCAGTTGTTGTTGGACTAGAAGACTCCGACTTTCATAAACTAGCAAATGAAAATGGCGCCTTCAAGCAGCTTTATACCCGTAATCAGTTCGTAATTTATAAAGAAAAGTTACTTTCCCTAGATGTTCGTAATTTATAGAAAAGTTACTTCTCCTTTTCCTTACTTTTCCTAGATGAGATTCCTTGTCAAGAAATTTCGCAGAGAGGAGCAGCTGCAGCTAATTCGAGAAGTGGAGGGCAAAGCTATACACGCTATCACTTCAAAAGGAAGTATTCCACAACTAAATGCAGATGTAAAAGCTAGGGACACTTGTGCAATTCAATATGTCATAAAAGTTGTTGCAATAAGATTTCAATCGCATTATTAAGTTTTTTTTTTTTTATTATTTTTTTTTATTGGTGTGTGTGTGTGTATGTATTATTTTCTTTTTTCGTTTAGAATGTACTGTTTAACTTCAAAAGTTTATTTACATGTGCTGTTACTTAAACTTTTTCGTATTTTGACATACACGGTATAAATATAAAAGTAAAAAAAAAAAAAGTTCTTTATTGTCTAAATTTAAAACTAAATGCTTAACATTTACCCAAGCGCAACTGCTCTCATTAAGAAGGCAAGTAATATCGAGTAGCTCTTCTCACGTTTAGAATCTAAAGCTACATGTCGCGCAGTGAAAACGCCTAACGCCTCTACAGAGTTACGAAAGCTCTCCTCATAGGGATTGGTTACTCCTCTTAGTAAGACAGGCGAAAAAGTTACGTCACCCTTGTGAAGTTTTACCGCGCCTGAAATGCGGAAAACAAATTGAAAACTTCTGACATATTCAACATTCACCATTAGTGCATGGTGACTGTCGACATTTGCCGGTGTAAGTCAGAAATAAGGATATTTGGCAAATATTTTGGACATATACCAAGCGACTATGTGAATGTCGACATTTTCCAAATTTTGGTCTTTTACAGTAATATATATATATATGAAAGTAAAATAAAGAATATGTAAAAGATTAAATTAGCAGCGTAAATTAATTTCCTTTCTCTATTCTAAAAATAGTAACTTCTATTTGCACTGCGTCATTTCGAGACTAATTCATGTCATATGACTCTTACCTAATTCTGATGATGTAAATGGAACTAAAACTGAAACAGCCAATAGTAATTTTATATAAATATTAAGTACCCGATCAAAATGCATGGAGAACCGAAACTAACTCAGTCTGAATTAAGATTTCACCCTGAACATAACATTCTTGCTTTCTAAGCTTTGGCCCAGCTGCACTGCTGTCTGTCTACTCCTTCTTTCTTACTGCAAATTTATCTAAAATGTTAATTTTTTTGGAATAGGCAAAATTAATGTACCAACTTGACTGAGGCCGCAACAGGTTTACTGAAATAAAAGTTGAATTAAATATACCTTGACTGCCAAATTTCTTATTTATTGTGGATCGGCATTTCAGGATTCTACATCAAAATTCTCGCTGTTCATTATAGATTCAACCGCTTGTGTTCTTCGACAGAATCTATTATATATATATAAGAATAAAAGACCGTTTCTGCTCATATATATAATTTTAAAAAGGCTTTTTGGGGGGGGGAGGAGAGAGATTGCTAGACTTTTGGAGTTCTTTCTTGTGATAGTAAACGTGCTGCAAATTATCACCTAAGTAAGTTTATTTTTAGCTACACCCCCCTTATACTAAGCCAGCATTATCATGTTTTCTTTATAATCCTGTGATATTTAATTGAGTTTTAGGAAGTAAAAAGCGGTATTCATTATTTGACGGAACATCTCAGGGTATACTTTTATGTATGTTATCAGATTCATTTTCAGAGTCAGTCTATTCAATTGATGAGACAAAAATTTCTTCTACTACATCAAAAGCAATTTCACTCGGAGTTCATATTCTATTAAAATATCAGAAATCAGATTTTCCAATTTAATATCCTCTTGTGTAAAATGTGTTAAATTCGGATGCCTGTTCTGTATAATAATGAAACAACATCCAGACCATTTTCTGTGTTTTATAATGCCAAATAAAGACATAGTTTAAAATTAAAAGTCTAACCATTGATTTTCCAATTTTTCTACTTTAGCAATCAATTCGTGAAAGCAGAAATATTTACAAAAAAAATGATAAGAGTTTTTACTTAAGTGGTTATATATAAAGTAGTTTAAGTGAAACGTAGAGAATTTTATTATAATTAACTTCAAAGGACTAATTGTAACGCTTTACAAAATGAAATTTTGTACAAGTATTCTTGTGGCCTACGGGTATCAAAAGCAGAAAAATTCTTAAAACATGGCGAATGTAGGGAGAAAATTTAATTTTGGTGATTAAAAATCTTTATTTCTTTGTTTGGTTCAGCTATAAAAATTTAAAAGTTAATTTTAACTAACTTTCTTTTTGAGTATGTAATAAGAAAAAAGTTCACCCTTCCATATCAATTTAAATTAAGTGCACATTGCAAATTTGTTGAAGAACTAGGCAAACATTTTTGATAAAATATGACAAATTGTTGGAAATAAAGCAATTCATATACGAATGCTTTTGCTCAGTTAGGATCACATAAATGAAAAAATTAATGGCTAAATTGATATAAGTAGCAAAAAATTAATGGCTAAATTTAAATAAGTAGTAAAATATACGAAATTAACTGTATTTCATGATGCAGCAATCTATTGGATATTTTATGATAATTTAAAATTCTGCCAAATTTTGTCAGAAAGATTTCAACTTTTTTACTAGCTATACAATATTAGTAGATATTTCTTACTGTTATATAGTTCTAGATGAGTAGATTCACACATATATATTGAGAAAACTTACAAAAACATTTTAGCATTTTTTAAACGTGAAAATTTATATTATTGTAAACAATGTAATCAAATGAAGAGGACATTTACTATTCTTTAAGATATGTGAGAGTAAAAATCACTAGTTAATGAAATTGCAAAATAGCAATTAAATGATAAAATCATTTACAATTAAATTTCATTGTTGGCTGAACACAGCTTACAGTAGCTTTCAAAATTAGCATCTACCATCAATGCTTTTACGGCCAAAACAATTAGAATTTATTGCTTTTTTGTAAACAACTGCAGAGAAAAAAATCGTTGATGATGATGAATTTATCAATTTTGAGGATGTTGACAATTCGATAATGTTGATGATGACGAATTTATTCATTTCGATGATGTTAATTAAATTTATATAACATGAAAAAATTTACACTAATAATTTTAAAAAGTTAAATTATTTTAAAACTGTATCTAGAATTCTTCCTCTGTAATGCAGATTATCACCAAACCGCACTAGGTCTTAAAAATCAAATAAGTTACTCATATCCTCATCCTTTTGAAGCTATGCCAAAACAGCAAGAAATTTCAGGGAAATTAGTGTTCCGAAGATCATATATTTCCCTTCGTCAAGATTAAAACAAATTGACACCTCAAAGTGGAAAATAAAGATGCATATAAAATTTTTAATTACACAATAAATAAATAAAAAATAAAAAAGAGTCTGATTGCCCTTGAAAACAGTATAGTGTAAAACTATACTCAAAGTTTATGCTAAACTAACGGTGCGTTTTTGACTAATTTTAAAGATTAAAACTTAATGATAATAAAATTACGGGAACCATTCTTGAGAGTGTTACAAATCATTATAAACGATAAAAAGCATACTAACTTGTGGATTAAAATTTAGAAGTACACAATTTTTGTCATCAGTGAGAAGTAAAGGGCAGTCTAGTTTTTCTTCAACAGAAGATAGTACTTCTTTCCATTTATCAATAATATCAGTCTGAAATCTTAAAAAAAGGTAAGGGAAGTTAGTTAATAAACACCACTTTAATATCGTTAAAAATTTTGTATATATGTAAATAATTTTAGTGAAATTATATCTGAAACTGTTGTATTTTTTTGTATAATATAACATGAAAATCTAAAGAAATTTCATTTGCACTTGCTCTATCATGAAGAGATTCACAAAATAAATACTCTTCGGTAATTCATTTATCTTCTCTGAAATGTATGTAAACGAATAATTGAACAAAGTTCGTTATATCAGTATTTTTATCCAACCGCAATGCGAAAAACTCACTGCGTTTTATTTTTTGAATTGTCTCTTTCAAAGAATTTGCCATTTCATGAATTCTTTGACTTACCATTATTCATGACTGAATCAGTTATATAACGGAATATCATAAAGTTCATTAACCGCTTTTTTCTTGAATAAAGTTAAAACGATATCTTTAACTGCTGGTAATATAAGGTTTTCTCGAATAGTGTAAGCCTGCCCAGTCTTGGCAATTCTTAGGCTTGCTAGGTAACTAGCTTCCAAAGCTTCTTCACTTGAAGCAAAAAAAAACCCTTTCATTACTTGTTTATTATTTTTGACATCCATTTCCTCTTCAAATAATAATCAGATTTGTCCTTTAAATTGGCATGCTGAGTTTCAAGGTATGTGTCGAGAAACGATGGTTGTATATTTTGTTTGGATAATAGTTCACTGCAAACACTGAGGTTGAGAGCCCATTATATCTCCATTCCAAGTAAATCGAAATTATAAATAACTTTCATTATATTTTCTACAAACAAATTTTCTTTTCAATATTCTTAATGCTAGTACATTGTACATGCGCCTCGTAGAAACCCTGCTAAAAAGAGAAGTGATGATTCACAGGTGATGGATCCAGGCCGCATTTTCTATAAGCAATTTTGCTTTCCTTTTCAATATTCTTAGTGTTAATATATTATCCTGGATCCATCACCTATGAATCATCACTTTTCCACTTAGTCAATCCTAGCCATTTTTTCTATTTTGAAAAATCTAGGTTTTGTTTGTTATTTTTTCACAAATATTTAAATGCACAATATATTATGAGTTATTAAAAAACAAACGATGGTATTCTCAAATTGCGTTGAAAAGTAAGGACTACAAAGCACCAAGAAGATACCTGTTACTAAAGACAGGAGTTATTATAATTGAAAATAGAGCAATATGAGCCCGAAATGGTGGCGGCATAAAGTGCAGACATGCTAATAAGTCAATCAACTCGAAAATAATTAATGATAATAAGATACTATTATCTTTTTATAGGAACTTATATTTATTTCCTGCTAAATACAACATGCATTTCTATTACGCCTTTTAAAACATCATTCATGACAAATTTTTCTATGCCTATGGCTAAAAGAATATTTGTGAAAATTAAAATGAATTATTTTGCTAAAGTCACCTTGAACAAAGTTCAGATCGCATAAATTTACGAGTGCTAGAGAAAAAAACCTTAAACAGGATGTTGTACTAATTAAAAATACCTTGTTTCTTTGCGTACCACCTATTTTTCTCTTGCGTACAACCGGTTGAAAATCGCTATTCTATACTATTAAATTTTATTATGCTTTTCTCCATTATCATACATGGGACACTCATTCAGTAATTAGTGATAGTTCTGAAAAATAATAATAATAATAATAATAATAAAAATTTAGCACCTTTTTATTTATTTATTGTTATGTTTAAGCTGTAATCTCTATTTCTTAGTGTGTACTTTTGGGTCACAGAGTTATGTGTATTTGTTTCTACTGATAATTTTCAAAAGTAATTATTATGGGATATAAGGGGGAAATTTATTATTTAAAATTGTTCTGCTCCACATAGTTTTGGATAAATGGGCCCTACTGTAATAGCATTATTTTAATCTTTATTCAGTTATTGTTTGCATCTCATCAAAAGCAACAAAAGATTTAAAGAAATAGAATTCAATAATTTAAGATCTGATTTTTAAATTTAAATTAATTAAGATCATACTTAGTTAGCAGAGCTTTTATATCTTGGTAGGTTTTCAGAATAACTTCAACATCATCTGACTTTTTAAAACTGAAATGATAGATCAAACGTTATTTAAAACAATTTGCTTTATTACATCGTAAAGTTTACAGATAACATAAATATTACAATTTGCATATTAGTTTTGTGTGGCTTACGAAATGCCACATTTTGGTGCTAAAGTTTTTAGTTCATGGGCTCCCAATACATTATTAGCTTGTAAAAATACATAATCTAAACTGACTTAGATAAGAAACAAATTAATTATTAATAGCTTACAATTTCACTCATATTATCAACTTAATAAAATGAGAGAGAACTTTTTATAAACATCTGACATAACAATTTTTGTCTTTCACAGCACACATTGTATATATATATATATTGTAAGTTAGTTCGCAGCAATAATAATATTTTTTTTTGCAATTGAAATTTCTTAATATTAAATTAATTCTAATTAAAATTTAATTAATATTAGCTTTATACGAAGAGGCTAAATTCAGATATATATATGTCCTTTTTATTAAAACAAGGGCCTACTATATTCAAGTCATCATGATAAGCCCATGTCGTGAAGAGGTTTTATTTTTCTAACAAAAGCTCCTTTTTCAAGCTTTCTTCTGCATTTTTCTGTGATATTTAAATAAAAGAAATTAAAATCAAAATAATTCAACTTATAGGATTTTTCTTCTCAATTCTACATAACGTTTTATCAAAACATTTTCCTCCACTTTTTGAGTCTATTGCTTTTTTATAGTTTAATTTTAAAATCTAATTAAAAGTTTTATACTGAGTTGCATTCTTTATTCCCTATTCGCTTTACAATAGTCAGGATAGTCAGTATAGTCAGAACACAATAGTCAGGATAGGTCAGAATTTTGTTGAATTTCATCTTTATTTAGTAAAGTATTATTAAATTTAAATTTTAAAATAGTTTTTCTTTTGTTTTCAAAATTCTGTCTTTTGCTGCATTTTTTCGCCTTTGGGATTTACTTTCTCGCCTCTGAATTTTAGTTTCACGAATGACTCCAAATTGGCAAACCTAAGCGTCACTGATGGTAACGATCTTTTCCGAAGTTTCGCTTGTGTTCTAATTGAAAGTACTCGAAGTTTTTAACTGTTTCTTGTGAGTTTATATTTCAATTCTATTTGGATTAAATCTTTTCACTAAAGTATTTTTTATTTTCAATTCTTTGTTTAAAGGTAAAATTTTCATATTTACTTTTTTTCCTTGTTTTGGGGGTCAATGATTTTCAGGTGAACTGTTATGATTAAATTACATTGGAATGGTTCATCAGCTAATTCTGGATACAGAAAAGCAAGGATTTTCTATGGAAGAGAGGTTTTGATTGATTTCTCTTTGGTACGTGGAGCAGTTGGATGCATATGCTGGATGACTATAGTTCGACCGTCTCAAGCGTAACCCTGGTTGGCATTCTGCCAAAACACATAGACTCGCCCAAAAGGGGCGGTATTACTTGCTGCGACGTGAAAGGTCTTCTCTTCTCCGGAAAGAGCTGTGCTGGAGGGAAAGAAAGTCCCCATCCTTCCACCCTATTTTGAAAATAATTCGGTCAGAATGGCGCATGCGTATTTGCGCTCATGGTCGCGGATGGAGGCGGTCGAACTATAGTATGGAAATTAGTTTTGTTTATACCATTTGATAGTTTACAGTTAATACATTTGGGGTTGTTGGCGTTGCATTCTGTAATATTATGGTCTCCTCTGCAAAAAGCACATTAATTCCTATATATGCAGTTTTCGAAAGGATGTTCGAAATCTTGACATTTGCAGCATTTTCTAGCTCCGAAAAATTCTCTTATTTTGTGTCTTCTCCATCCACTAAGAAAGGTGCATTGGTTCATTAAGATTTGGAATGCCAATGGAGTGCAGTCTATTATTGATTTATTATTGACCTATTATTATTCGGATTTATCCGAACTTCTAATTTGAAACCTTGCAGTAATTAATTCGATTATTTCTTTTTCTGTAGTATTTCTAGATAAATTGTTGACGGTATATTTTGGAGTTCTTTTGGTAGGAATTTTTAAAGTAATTAAATGGTTTGACTTCGTCAATATTTTCGAAAACTGAGTTGATTTTATGAATGTCTTCTTTGAAAGAACAAGAGACTACTATTCTCTTTTACTACTATTCGCCGTTTTAATATGAGTAATTTTGTCGATTTTTACTCCAATATTTTTGATTGGATTGCATTTTTCTAATTTCTCTTGGAGTTTCCTTGTGGAAAATTATTAGGGTAAGTAGTTGATTGCGTTTCGATTTTGGTTTTATGTGAGAATGGTAAAGCCTCGAGGGCTAACTTCCCAACAGAAGGGATGCCTTCTTGGAGGTCTTTCTAAGGGAATCTGTCTCGTATACACGTTACAAATGGAGAAAAACACGGAAACGCCTGTGCAGCCAGCTGGTTCGCGGGATTCGAACCTCGAACCGAACTACCAGTGTTCAACGACTTTAGTACTCGGCTGTTGGTGGGCTAATTACGTTTCGAAATATTCATAGTTTTTAAAGAATCAGCATAAGATTTGTTTGTTGAATTATTTTCATGATCAGAGTAAGTTGATGAAGTAGACACTTTAGTTAACTGATACTTCCTTTGACACAGTTTGTGCAGTAAAGTAGCTTTCATGATGATACTTTTTTGTTTGTTGACTGGCTTGGATGGTGATTATAATCAACTGAAGAATTTAGATCGTAAGCAGTTAAGTCTATGTTAAGGTGTGTTTGTTGGTTGATCTTTATGTATAGGAACTCCGTAAAATGATCGAGAATGTTCTTTATTTGCATTTGAAGTATAATTATTCTCTATGAATGGGTTTAATGCTCTTTTTTTATTGATTGAGCAGTTGCAAAATTCTTGATCATCTTGTGATATATAGGAGCATGTATTCATAATTACTTGTTTTGATAGTGGATTGTTGACTGGAGAAGTGGATGAGTCATTTAAATGCATTTGGCTTGAACCAGTTGGGCTGCGTGAATAAGGTTTAGTTGAATTGTCCCCAGTGTTTAGTTGTATCGATATCTAGGGCACAATCTTTTAGAAAGCCTACTATTGTTTTGATTTTATTGAATAGATTCTTTCGAAGATACCTTTTGTGTTTATTATCACACTTCAATAATTTGATACACTCATTATAGGCATATTGTATTTTGATTGCTCCTTCTGAGGTGAAAAACGTGTCATTCTGAACAGTGGACATTGAAGACATGGTTAATGGTGAGAGTAATTGTAGTCTAGCCTTTGGAGATTTGATAGAATAGTTTGTTGAATCGAAGTTATTTATAAAGGATCTACTATTTATAGAGGATCTTGAAATATTTTGGGACACGAATTTGAAGACAATTGAGAAAAGCTTATGGATTTTGTTACTTGGTATAAATAGTTCTAACACTACTAATATTATATTAAAACTGTAATAAGAAAAATGTTGTGTAGTGATTTATATGAAGATAATATATAAAGTAAATATTATGAAATAAAATAAAATGAGAGATAATTTATTGCATTATAAATAGCACTAAAAATATTTTTCAGATGCTAATATATTATAAATAGATTAAAACTATTGTTGTAAAAGTATATCAAACTAAAATGATAAAATAATGTTTACAATATACAAAGATACAAGTTTAGTTGTTTACTGCTGTTCATAAAAAGAAATTAATAAATGTAAATAAAATTAAACATTTGGTATTGTTGAAATATGCAAGGTTAAGTTATAAAGAAATGTTTGTTTAATTTTAAGCAAGTGCTGAAGTTTAATTTATTAAAAAGGCGTCGGCTACAATATTGTTGTACAAATTAAATTAAGGTTAAGATGTTAAAATGTTGTTTGCACTATACAGAAATATAAGTTTAGTTAGTTACTGCTGTTAGCAAAAAGAGATTATTAAATCTAAACAAAATTAAACATATTTTAGTATTGTTGAAATATGCAATGTTAAATTATATATATAATGTTTATTTATTTTTGAGCAGGTGCTAAAGTTAAATTTATTAAAAAGGAGTTGGCATCTTGTAGGCGGTGCTTCGATCCATGCGTGGTGACGTCACTCTGGCTGCACCGGTACCCCTCGAGCTTGCCATACTTCCTTGTTCCAAACATTGTCTCCACATCCGGTGCACTGTGGACGCGTCCAGGTGTGTGTCAGGATTTGCCGTGTGGGCAAACTTGCCCTTCTCAGTCCGATCAACCATGTCCCTCGTAAAACAGTTTATCTGCTGGAACTGCCTCCGTTGACGGCCTGGCATTCTTTGCTGTTACACGCGCCCTCTGAGACAAGAACAAATTTTCTACTATGATTTCACCTAGCAGAAATAACGGCATGAAATTGAACATTCCAACTCCAACTTCCTCTGTTTGCCGCGATTAACCTGCAAAGAATGCAGGTTGTATTCCGACTATCTCAGTTAGATGCTTCGATGAGCGATGCAGGTAGGGAAATGAAACTAGGTCTTGGGAGGCAGGATATCAGGTACTAGGGGCGTGGCCAATTTCCACATGTTGAACATTCTGCAGGCTCCTTCCCTTATATGTTCTTCAACGTGCGCTGGAGAGCTGCGACGGATAATTAAGAGAGGAGTCTCACGTGAAGGTTCTCTTAGCACGACTCTCGGTTTTACCAAGTCGATTTGATTTTTCTTCTACGATCAGTTGATAGCACATAAAAGGTTGCAACGGTCTTAAGTGACCAAAGAGTAGTAAAAAGGCCTTAGTGCGATTTTACTGATTCTTGCATCCATTTTTCCCTGACGACTGAAATAGTTTAAGGACTTAGTCATCATGTCACTGGACAAACTAATCTTCGCTCGATATGCGTAATTAACTTCTAAAGAGAATGATTTATTTACCTTTGACTGAGGATGAAACAATTGATCTGGATTTTCTACTAAAACTTCTCCCTAATCTATCGGACAAGGTACGAGCAAGTATGAACTCTGCACGTGGCTCTGAACTAGGCTTAGCGCAAGTCGGTTCTAACCGGTTAGCATCTAATGAAATTGATTCCCATCATGCTGATGTCTC